TAATACATCTCAGAAAAATTAAGGAACTAACACTGTCCTTCTAATAAACATCTAATTCGTGTAACAAATCTTACCTTCTATACAGTCTTGCAAGAAAATAATTCCTGTTGTAGAGATCAGAAAGTGATAAGCTATTCCAGTTGACGGGATCGCAGTGACATTGTCACAATCACACGGTTGGAAATAAAGGGGAATAAGCGGCGTTGTGAGAAAGAAAGGTGCAGGGGAAGCTACTCATGGCTAATACAAGTGTGATTTATGTTATGGTGGGGGCTTTTAGTTTTAAGATGTGGGCCATATAGGACATGGCTTAATGTTCAGACAGGGGTTCTCATCTTGTTAGGTTGGTGTGAGTTTAATTTTAGTGGATAAGTAAATGGTATGGTGAATAAATGGGTGGCAGATAAACATGGATAAGAGAATATTTTATGGTTTGAGTTTTACGTAGATAAGTTTATTTTCTGTTTAAATTAATGGATGGATATATGTGTGGATGGAAAGATGGATATATGGGTGGATGGATAGATGGGTGGAGGGATAGATGGATATATGGATGGATATATGGAAGGATATATGGATGGATATATGGATGGAAAGATGGATGGGTATATGTATGGATATATGTATGGATATATGTATGGATATATGGATAGATATATGGATGGATATATGGATGGATATATGGATGGATATATGGATGGATATATGGATGGATGGATGGATGGATGGATGGATGGATGGATGGATGGATGGATGGATGGATGGATGGACAGATGGATGGACGGATGGATGGATGGATGGACGGATGGATGGACGGATGGATGGACGGACGGACGGACGGACGAACGGACGGATGGATGGACGGGCGGACGGACGGACGGACTGACAGACGTTACGGCACTTAAGTTAGTGTGATATATGTCAGGTTTTAAAATTAGTTTTTCTAAGCACGACACCAGACTTCTGACTTTAGGATTTAAACTGTACATTTTTTATGCGAAACTGCTTTAGGTTGAAATATGGCTGTTACTTCGTATTTGCTGTATATATTAGGCCTAAGTAGCTAAGTCTTGTTTCTGGAGTTATATAAGTACAAGTATCCTTGGAAAAAATTTAATTGTTTCAGTCGTGTATGTGTGTTCTGTGATAAATAAACCTGTGGAGATGTACCACGTGGCCTATACACGTGGGGTTGTGTATCACGCGATATATATATATATATATATATATATATATATATATATATATATATATATATATATATATATATATATATATATATATATATATATATATATATGGCATGTTGTGTCTGTTGTCGTTATACCTGGTGTAGAGTATTAAGTAAAGTTCCCTTTCAACCTTGACGGTCTATGGGGCAAGTGAAGTAGAGTTCACGTGTTTCTATGACCTCGGCATATGAAGGGATAGTGTGGTCAGCACTATACCCAGTCTCTTTACTTTCACTAATGTGAGTCAGGTACCCATTAGAGCTGGGTTGACTCAGGAACGTTAACAGACATGAACCCCGATACGTGATAGCAGTTGTATGCTCTACCATGCGACTACGCCGTTGACTGTGTAGTGTATTACGTGATCTATATTCGTAGGATATGTATCATGTGATAGATTGTAATTAAAATTAATGAAAAACTATAACTTTATTTCATCGATCAATATTATTTCAACTAATTTTTTTTTTTATCTTTTGTAACAATATTACTTTCTCCCTCATTTCATCTACTGTCCTTGTGCCATACCATTGTTTCTTCCATACTTTTTTCTCCGGGGAGTGAGGCGGAGAACACTTGATATTTTCGGGGGAACGGACAAAATTTTCCGGGAAGAGAGGGCGGACACTGATAAAAATATATTTTTATATAAATTCCATTTCGTTCGGGTGAGGGAGGGGGGGGGGGAGACTTTCTTCGGCGCCCTTCCCCCGAAGAGGTGCCTGGAAGAAACTCTTTGCTATACATCAAAGAAGGGGGTAACAAAAAAACACGGCCTTGCTGTACATTAACTTTTCGTTGTACATTTTACATTGTACCTGGCATAGTTTTAACTTTAGACTGACTGGCTACCTGGCCTGGTGTACTTAGAAGTTATTTATGTGCTGGGGGTTCAGTTACATGCGTGGTGACACTGAAAGTACCGGTGCGAAACGGTCGACTAACATAGACTACATCAGTGTGAAATGGTCGACTAAATTTGACAATATCAGTGGGAAACAGTCGACTAAATTAGACAAAAAACGGTGTGAAATGGTCGACTAACATAGACTATAGCAGTGTGAAAGGGTCGACTAACATAGACAATATGAGAGCGAAACAGTCGACTAAATTAGATAAAAAACGGTGTGAAACGTCGACTAACATAGGGGTCGTCCATAAATGACGTCACACTCGTAGGGGGGAAGGGGGTCTGTAGTTTTGTGACGGTGTGTGATGAGGGGAGGGGGGGTGGGGGGTTCAGATGGTGAGACGTCACACCTTTGCATTATAAAAAAAGCAATGTTAAACAGAATTTTAGCCGTTATTTCGCGTTTTAAAAAAACTGTTCTAATAGATTGTAATAGGAATTGATTAAAATATTATGTTTAAAGAGTTCAGACAAGATTTTGGAAAAATATCGATGTTTTAAGAAAAATTCAACAAAAATTCCCACATAGACAATATCAGTGGGAAACAGTCGACTAAATTAGACAAAAAACGGTGTGAAATTGTCGACTAACATAGACTAATGAAACAGTTATATAGTGTTCAAAAAGACGGAACTCCTTTTCTCCAGTTAAAAATTATATTTATTATATTTTTTATAAAAACAAATCATCATAGATAAAAGTATCAAAGTATATCCATAAAATAAGACTTTTGTATTTAATTGATTTTTTTTCTTGCAGACACCTCTAAACAAAACAAAAACGGGTAAAAGTCTGTAAAAGTTTTTTTTTAAAGTATCATGCCAAATCTACAACATACACTTTCAACAATACACATTATACGAAACAAAAAAGGCAACTACCATATTCAACTAAGCAACATATAATTATAACTACTGTTGGTTCTACAATACAATTTAGTCTTTTGTCTATTTAGAGGTATTTTGTGCGTGTTTCACATTAATATCTTCATCCAAACCTAAGTATTTAAATATCAAAAGGTCAAATATTTGCATAACAAACCTAAGCTGTTACTTAATCTTAAATTAAATATATACGAGCGCAATATACCATGTGATTAATATTTTACCAATTATACTCTATCACATTTAAAATTTTATACATACTGCAAAAATATTAACATGTTTATTAAAAATCTTGCTTTATAAATTAGCCTAAAACAGTTATTGAGGGCTTCGATTATCTATCATCCGATTCCGGATACCTCATAACGGAACACTGTACCTCCGGGCAACTCCGAATAGAAGTCGGTAGTTTCCGGAAGGAGAGGATATCGTGGCCGAGTGTTAAAAATAAATAATGGCTAAAAATAGATTACAGTCACATGTCGACTTGTTGAAAATAAATTGGTTTCGGTCCTCCAAATTACAGCTAAGTCATTGTTTAAAAAAAAAAAAAAAAAAAAAACACTACGCGATTTAGGTTTTTAAAAAAGTTGGATTACACAAAAACTAGCAAGTGAGTCTACATGCTCTAGTCCAAACGATCTCGTTGGTCCTACTCTAAATTAGTCAGGGATTTAGTAAAGGAGGCTAGGAGTTTCAAACAGTAATTAGGTTATTCGTTTTTTTTTGTTTTTTTTTTTACAATCTTAGTAATATTTGTTTTTGTTCATTTTATTTTAATGCAGGCCTAATTAAACACATTTAAAATAATCTTTTTTTTTACCGAACGCTATAAAATACGTCATTTAATTTTTATAGTGTGTAAAAAATGTTTAAACTATAAATGGCTAATGGCTAATATAAATGGTATTCAAAAATAAAGGTAAATAGTTATGTATATATATAATATAATATGCGAATTCTAGATTATTTTTAAAAATGTTATAAAAAAACAAACTAGTCTGTAAATTACTAATAAAAAATCTTTCCTCATATTCTCCATTCAATTACTCATTTTTATGCTCTATAATGTACTTCAAGATAAATATGATAGGGATAAATTCGCGTCACTATTTACATAAATAGAAAATACAATAAGGGCATTTTGAATACTGGATTGTACATTGTTTGGGAAATTCGCGATTGACAAGATGAAAAAAAAAATCCTATTCTAATACTGAAAAGTGTGACTAGTCATTGTGGTACAGTTATTTCAAGGAAAACAACGTTGAAAAGTGCCGTACTAAAGTGCTTTTTCAAGCCAAATGCACTGCCGTCTTATAATACAATGAACATAACGTCGGAACTATTCTAATACTGAAAAGTGTGACTAGTGATTGTGGTACAGTTATTTCAATGAAAAAACGTTGGAAAAAGTGCCGTACTAAAGTACTTTTCAAGCCAAATGCACTGCCATCTTATAATACAATGAATATAACGTCGGGACTATTCTAATACTGAAAAGTGTGACTAGTCATTGTGGTACAGTTATTTCAAGGGAAACAACGTTGAAAAAGTGCCGTACTAAAGTACTTTGCAAGCCAAATGCACTGCCGTCTTATAATACAATGAATATAACGTTGGAACAATTCTAATACTGAAAAGTGTGAGTAGTCATTGTGGTACAGTTATTTCAAGGAAAACAACGTTGAAAAAGTGCCGTACTAAAGTACTTTGCAAGCCAAATGCACTACCGTCTTATAATACAATGAGATAACGTCGGAACTATTCTAATACTGAAAAGTGTGACTAGTCATTGTGGTACAGTTATTTCAAGAAAAACAACATTGAAAAAGTGCCGTATTAAAGTACTTCGCAAACCAAATGCACTGCCGTCTTATAATACAATGAATATAACGTCGGAACTATTCTAATACTAAAAAGTGTGACTAGTCATTGTGGTACAGTTATTTCAAGAAAAACAACGTTGAAAAAGTGCCGTACTAAATAACTTTGCAAGCCAAACGCACTGCCGTCTTAAAATACAATGAATGTAACTTCGGAACTATCTCTCAGTGTAATGATACCCTATGAATCTACTATTCCTCCGAATCAAGTAGTTCATCCAGCTCGTCCATAGCCCTCAGCCAGTCCATGTGTTGCTTGACCATTGGCGTGGACATGTACCAGTTGGTCCAGACTTCCGTGACGTCCGGAGGTTTGCCCATGAAGCCCAGACACTGCAGGAACTCCTCGTTCGTGACCGCCCTCTTGCGGGAGATGCGGTCAGCGTGCAGAACGTTGTCCACGACAAACTGGATCTCCCTCGCTGTGTAGCCCTCGGTCATCTGGGGAGGGAGATGGGAAACCAGGGATAAACATGGGTTAAACCTGAACTAAGCCGAACTAAGCCTGGGTTAAACCCGACCTAAACCTGGCTTAAACCTGGGTCAAAACTGCGTTTAACACTGAGATTCTGTCAGGCGTCTCTTTGGGTTGGGGGCTGACGAAATGTCAGTGCGCCCCCCCCCCCCCCTATTCTCCTCGAAAGCTTCTAGTGCCTTTGACTCAACGGATACGTGCGTGCTCTAGAAAACTAACCTTAGACAGCACGGATTCGTGCGTGCTCTAGAAAACTTACCCTAGAGAGCACGGATACTTGCGTGCACTAAAAAAACTAACCGTAGACAGCACGGATACGTGCGTGCTCTAGAAAACTTACCTTAGACAGCACGGATATGTGCGTGCTCTAGAAAACTTACCTTAGACAGCACGGATATGCGCGTGCTCTAGAAAACTTACCTTAGACAGCACGGATATGTGCGTGCTCTAGAAAACTTACCTTAGACAGCACGGATATGTGCGTGCTCTAGAAAACTTACCTTAGACAGCACGGATATGTGCGTGCTCTAGAAAACTTACCTTAGACAGCACGGATATGTGCGTGCTCTAGAAAACTGACCTTAGACAGCACGGATACGTTGAGAGTGGAAGCTTTAAACGCCGGAAGTCTTGCCAGGAAGGCCGACCAGATGGCGGTCCGGCTGCCGTACTCAGGGATGGTGAAGAGAAGAACGTTCTAGAAAAAAATAGAAATTGGCAGCCCCGGATAAATAGATGAGTGCATTTTTTTTAAACACGCAGGCAAGTTATGTGGTATAGCATTCATCGTGGGTTTTTAATGGGTAAGATAACTGTTCATCCTACTCCCGATTTAATGCTGGGTACTGCTAGAGCTAAGTGGGCTCAAAGATTTATGTTAATCATTCAAAGTCCTGACCCTGCCGAGGTAATGAGAGTGGCTGAGTGATAAGGCACGCGAAAAATAGCTGAATGACTACATGTTCTATTCTTTGGCTGGAGTCCTAATGATTTTTTAAAAGTCAATGTAAAGTTGGTAGTGTATTCTCAGGAACCACAATACCGTCATATTCCACCACAGATACAGCCGAGCTATACTTTATCTGTACTATAAATTATCATCTCTTGCAAAAGAAATTACTTAACCCTTGGATAGTAATAACACACACGACCACGCCGCAGCGAAATAAAAAATTATCAATTTAATAAACTAATATAAAAGTGAAATAAACAGGCAAGACAACAACAAAATCTAGCCCTAACATTAAAAATGTGACGTGGTGGCCTAGAGGTAGAGAGCTGGACTGCTAACCGTAAGTCTCGAGTTCAAATCTGGGTTCAAGTCAGTAGACCGTCCCTGAGTCCACCCAACACTAATGGATATCTCACTAACGTTAGGGTAAGTAAAGGCGGCTGGACATAGTGCTGACCACACTATCCCTTTATATGCCGAAGTCACATAAACAAGTGAACTTCACTTGCCAAGTACACCGTCAGGTTTGAAATGGAACTTTACTTATATTATTATACAAAACAGCAACAAAATCTAGCCTTAACATTAACAATGATATTATTATACAAAAGAGCAACACAATCTAGCCTTAACATTAAAATTGATATTGTTATACAAAAGAGCAACGAAATTTAGCCTTAACATTAAAATTGATATTATTATACAAAAGAGCAACAAAATCTAGTCCTACCATTAAAATTGATATTATTATACAAAAGAGAAACAAAATCTAGCCTTACCAGTAAAAATTGTATTATACAAAAGTGCAACGAATGTTAGCCCTACTATTAAAAATTGACATTATTTTACAAAACAACAACACAATGTCGACTTAACATTAAAAACTCGACAAAACAATTACAAAATTCGGCCATGTAATTTAACATTAGCATTATTCTACAAAACCACAACAACCCTCCCACCCCCATTCCCCTCCCCATCCCCCTCCCACCTACCTTGAACATAGAAAACATCTGTGGCCGCTTACAATTGAACGGGTTGTGTGTTTCCCCGATCAGCACCATGCGATCGCCGTTTTTCACCATCTTCATGAGCGCGGGGAAAAACGACATCCATCTGGCCGGGTTGTCCTCCTTCTTGCCCAACCACTTGGCGGTGGAGTAGAGGTTGTCGCACTCGTCGATGTAGAATACGGTGGGTTCCATAGCTTTACCCACCTGAGGCGGTGGTAAAATGGGTGGGTTTTTTTAATTGTTATACATGAAATATAATGAAGATGGTGTATTAGTGTTGTATATGAATAGTCACAATGATGGATAAAATTGTGTTGCATTTGGGTGTTAATAGAAGCTTAAAGAGGGTCGGTGTGGTCGAGTCGGTAAAGCTCATGGTTGTTAAACCGAAAAGCCTCGAGTTTGAACACCCGGGCAGATGAGGTGTGATAGCTGTGGACAGCTTTTCTAGGAGAGACAACTCCAAAATCAAACAACTGCTGCCTTGTAGTTTGTGTAGTTTGTTCATTGGACAAAGGCTATAGAAGCAAATCCAAAAAAAAAAAACCAAAAAGAAAAGCAGGCTGAAATCGAAGTCAATGGCCTCTATGGCACATAACCAGTTGATACAAAACACTTAATTATGTTGGAGGGAATCTCTTCCAACATTACAAATTAAGAACGAAGAAGAAGAAAAGAAAAAGCCTAAAAGTTGCGTTAACGTAATATATAAAGGCCCTGAAGGCAGCATTTGGATTCCTTACAACTTGGCTTGAAAGAAGAAAACAATGTAGAGTGCGGATTGATTATTAACATTTATAACAGGGTGGGTTCTGAATGTTATGAATAGAAATTCGTTTTAACAAAACAAGCTTCAAATAGTAACGCTAACAAAGCAAAACTGAAGAAGTAAAAAAACATTACCTTTATCATTGCCAACTTGATGAAGTAAAAAGTTTATCTTCCACAAGATAAAGTCGAAGTAAAAAATTCTGAACTTAAAGCAGAATTGAAGAAGTAAAAAAATGTACTTTTAACAAGGCAAACTTGAGGTCGTAAAAAGTTTACCTTTCACAAGTCGAGGTAAAAAATCTGAACTTAAAGCAGAATTGAAGACGTAAAAAACTTACCTTTAACAAGGCAAACTTGAGGTCGTAAAAAGTTTACCTTTAACAAGTCGAGGTAAAAAAATCTAAACTTAAAACAAAATTGAAGACGTAAATATGTTACCCGTAACAAGGCAAACTTGAGGTAGTAAAAAGTTTACCTTTCACAAGTCGAGGTAAAAAAATCTAAACTTAAAACAAAATTGAAGACGTAAAAATGTTACCCGTAACAAGGCAAACTTGAGGTAGTAAAAAGTTAACCTTTAACAAGTCGAGGTAAAAAAATCTAAACTTAAAACAAAATTGAAGACGTAAAAATGTTACCCGTAACAAGGCAAACTTGAGGTAGTAAAAAGTTTACCTTTCACAAGTCGAGGTAAAAAAATCTAAACTTAAAGCAGAATTGAAGCAGTAAAAATGTTACCTTTAACAAGGCAAACTTGAGGTAGTAAAAAGTTTACCTTTCACAAGTCGAGGTAAAACAAAATGTGAATTTAAAGCAGAATTGAAGCAGTAAAAATCTTACCCGTAACAAGGCAAACTTGAGGTAGTTCATCTCGACGGTCCCAATGTACTTGCCCTGAAGGTTTGAGGGGGACAGGTCGATCAGGTTCGAGCCCGTCTCACGGCAGATGGCGTGGACCAGCATCGTTTTACCTGTGCCCGGGGGTCCGGCAAACATCAGGGAGCTGCAAGTACACGTCTGACGTCACATCTCAAATATATCCGACGTTATGTCTTACGTCATAGTTCACGTCATTTCTCATTTTATGTTTGTCTAAAATCAGATTTTATGTCATTTTACACATCATATCTTGTCTTACGACACAGTTAACTTCATTTCAGACGTCATGTTTGATGTCAGGTCAGGTGTTTCGTCACAAGTTTTAAAACTTCTAGTAGTCATAGCAACGTATTACAAGTAGGAGATGGTAGGGGATAGAGAAGTTCTGACCCGCTCTGGTTCAAGAGTTTGGCTTCATATAAGCCCGACCACCTGATTCGACCTTATGAACTTTGGACAGTATGAATGCTGTTCTGGTTTAACTGAGATTTTTTTGACGTGGGAATGGCGTTTTGGAATTTATAATTCTGGTTTATTTCTACCTGATTATGGGCACTTGGACTTGGCAGTTTGGAATGGATAAATCTGACTTGATCCTAACTAATAAAGGGCAATTTTGAAAAAAAAATATTTCTGACTTAAGTTACCTCTCCTTCTTGTTGGACGTGATTCCCTCAAACACAATAGTGTCAAATCTGTTATGCGAGATATAGACCGTTGACTCCTAATTCAGCCTGCTTTTCATTTTAGATTGGCTTCCATAGTCGATGACCACAGGACCCTTTTCTTAACTGACTAAGGACACTGAATGGATAAATTGTGACATCCTACCTAATTAACGGCACTTTGGAATGGATAAATTGTGACATCCTACCTAATTAACGGCACTTTGGAATGGATAAATTGTGATTTATCCTACCTAATTAACGGCACTTTGGAATGGATAAATTGTGACTTTATCCTACCTGATTAACGGCAATTTGGAATGCATAAACTCTGACTCTATCCAAATTAAATTTGGAGTGGATAAATTCTGACTTTATCCTACCTAATTAACGGCACTTTAGAGTGGATACATTGTGATTTATCCTACCTAATTAGCGGCACTTTGGAGTGGATAAATTCTGACTTTATCCAACCTGATTAAAGGCACTTTGGGAATGGATATATTCTAACTTTATCCTACCTAATTAACGGCACTTTGGAATGGATAAACTGCGAATTGAGCGGGAGACCCAGCAAGAGCGACACCACGTTCTTGACGTCACAGGCCGTGGGGATGCACCCCCTCTGGGCGTCACGCTGGTAGTTGTTGTCACCGATGATGTCCTTGAACCTGACGCTGTTGACCGGCTTGACCAGTCCCATCAGGACCAGCTCGCCGTAGAGTTCTTCAACGGTTTTGGTTCCTGTCGGGTCAGCTTTCTTCTTGTCCCTGTGAGAGAGATATTTGCCAGAACTCGGACCACTCAACAGATTTACGTTAGTACTTAGAAAGATTTATTTTGGATTTCGTCTTTTCTTTACCATGTTCGAAAATTTAATAGGAGAGTCATCAAATTTGCCCGTTCGTGCCCAAAATACATGGGAAAAATACCTCCTACATCACCACAGCTACTACACTACCACAGCTACAAAAACTACCTACACCACCACAGCTACAAACACTACCTACACCATCACAGCTACAAACACTTCCTACACCACCACAGCTACAAACACAACCTACACCACCACAGCAACAAACACTTCCTACACCACCACAGCTACAAACACAACCTACACCACCACAGCAACAAACACTTCCTATACCACCACAACTCCTACACCACCACAGCTATAAACACTACCTACACCACCACAGCTACAAACACTACCTACACCACCACAACTACAAACACCTCCTACACCACCACAGCTACCAACACTACCTACACCACCACAACTACCAACACCTCCTACACCACCACAGCTACCAACACCTCCTACAACACCACAACTACCAACACCTCCTACACCACCACAACTACCAACACCTCCTACACCACCACAGCTACCAACACCTCCTACACCACCACAGCTACCAACACCTCCTACATCACCACACCTTCTACACCACCACAGCCACAAACACCTCCTTCACCACCACACCTACAAACACCTCCTACAACACCACAACTACCAACACCTCCTACACCACCACAACTACCAACACCTCCTACACCACCACAGCTACCAACACCTCCTACACCACCACAGCTACCAACACCTCCTACATCACCACACCTTCTACACCACCACAGCCACAAACACCTCCTTCACCACCACACCTACAAACACCTCCTACAACAACACACCTACCTCGGCACCGTCTCCTTCTTCTTCCTGTCGATGGTGCTCTTGTAGATCTTGTCGTCCACGGCAAACTTTAGCTTCTCCAGCTCGTACCTCATCAGTTTATCAACCTGCAGAATCAATCACTTTATCAACCTGCAGAATCAATCACTTTATCAACCTGTACAATCAGTTTATCAACCTGTACAAACATTGTATCAACCTGTACAATCATTTTATCAACCTGTAACAATTAGTTCATCAACCTGTACAAACATTTTATCAACCTGTACAATTAGTTTATCAACCTGTACAATCCATACGTTTATCAACCTGTACAAACATTCAGCTTATCAACCTGTACAAACATTCAGCTTATCAACCTGTATAAACAATTAGTTTATCAACCTGTTATCAGTTTATCAACCTGTACAAACAATGAGTTTATCAACTTGATATAGAGACAATCAACTTATAAACCTACATAGGAACAGTTAGCTTATCTACCTTTAAAAACACCCATTTTATCAACCTGATATAGGGACCATTAGCTTATTTACCTGACATATGACAATCAGCTTATCTTCCTGTGCAGACAATCAGCTTATTAATTATTACATCCATGCTGATACTTGTTTAGCAATTTCAAAACCAACAGAAGTATTTAAACACTATTTAATAATTCATTAAAACATTTTTGTATGCTCAAATACTACCTCGAATATTGTCGTTGTTTTAGAACATTTTAAAAGCTATTCGAGAACACTAAGCTCCGATCCACGCTACTGAAAAAGCAACATGTACGCTACAGAGAAAGCTATACTGTGTACACTACTACCAAAAGTATACTTCACCTGTGTCCGGATAACCTTCCCAGCCTCCGACCGTACTTCATCCAACAAACGCTCCTTGTCAAACCTCTGAAAAGGATTCTGCCCCTCGTACTTGCAGTACCAAAAACTGTTGTACTCATTCAACAAGTGAATCAAACCGACCATGAACCCGGAAGCCGGTATCATATACCCAGGATCCTCCAAAAAATCTTTTTTCGCCGGCTTCGCCGGTTGCTCCTTCTTCTTAGCCGGCTCCGGCGCCTTCTGCTTTGGGTCGTCCATTTCATCGAGTTCTTCCATCACCTCTTCGACCGTCTTCAGTTTAAAAATTTCGTCACATCCGCCTTCTTCGTCTTCCGGGTAGTCGGGGAATTCCCCTTGCAGGTCGCGCATCTCAAGGAGCCACTGGGTAAGGTTGAGCTTCATCTGTAGGGCCAGGTCCATGCCGTTCTGCTCGACGTATTTCTCGTATTCCAGAACCTTGCTCACGTTATATTCCTCCTCCCTCTCGAAGTACATGTTCTCTTTTTCCTCGTATTCTACCTACAAGATAAAGAGCTCGTTTAAAAAAAAAAAGAGTAAATTTTATTTAATTTTTGGGAAACAAAATATTAAATTCAGGAAGCCTAACACAAGATGAGTAATGTTTTATTAATCTTTTATTTCCTTCAACGAAGTCTAAAAGGTTTACGTAAATTAATTACCAGTGGACTCTTTAGGTCCACCTACCAATGACTTCCACAAGTCCACCTACCAATGGCCACAATAGATCCAACTACAAATAATCTCAAAAGGTCCACGTACTAATGGCCTCCACATTTCAACTTATCAAAGACCTCCATAGGTCTACCTAACAATGACCTCCACAGGTTCACCTGTTAATGACCACCACAGGTCCGTCTACACCTCCACCTTCCAATGACCCCCACACCTCCACCTACCAATGACCCCCCACACCTCCACCTACCAATGACCCCCACACCTCCACCTACCAATGACATCACACTTCCAACTACCAATGACCCCCACACCTCCCCCTACCAATGACCCCCACACCTCCACCTACCAATGACCACCACAACTCCACCTACCAATGACCACCACAACTCCATCAACCAATGACCACCACAACTCCATCAACCAATGACCACCACAACTCCATCAACCAATGACCACCACAACTCCACCTACCAATGACCCCCACACCACCACCAATGACCACCACACCTCCACCTACCAATGACCACCACACCTCCACCTACCAATGACCACCACACCTCCACCTACCAATGACCACCACACCTCCACCTACCAATGACCCCCACAACTCCACCTACCAATGACCCCCACACCTCCACCTACCAATGACCCCCACCTACCAATGACCACCACACCTCCACCTACCAATGACCCCCACAACTCCACCTACCAATGACCCCCACACCTCCACCTACCAATGACCCCCACACCTCCACCTACCAATGACCCCCACACCTCCACCTACCAATGACCCCCACCTACCAATGACCCCCACAACTCCACCTACCAATGACCCCCCCACACCTCCACCTACCAATGACCCCCCCACACCTCCACCTACCAATGACCACCACACCTCCACCTACCAATGACCCCCACAACTCCACCTACCAATGACCCCCACACCTCCACCTACCAATGACCCCCACCTACCAATGACCCCCACAACTCCACCTACCAATGACCCCCACACCTCCACCTACCAATGACCCCCACACCTCCACCTACCAATGACCCCCACACCTCCACCTACCAATGACCCGCACACCTCCACCTACCAATGACCCCCCCTACACCTCCACCTACCAATGACCCCCACAACTCCACCTCCCATTGACCTCAACAGGTCCACCTACCAATGACCCCCACACCTCCACCTACCAATGACCCGCACACCTCCACCTACCAATGACCCCCCCTACACCTCCACCTACCAATGACCACCACACCTCCACCTACCAATGACCCCCATAACTCCACCTACCAATGACCCCCACACCTCCACCTACCAATGACCCCCACCTACCAATGACCCCCACAACTCCACCTACCAATGACCCCCACACCTCCACCTACCAATGACCCCCACACCTCCACCTACCAATGACCCCCACACCTCCACCTACCAATGACCCGGACACCTCCACCTACCAATGACCCCCCCTACACCTCCACCTACCAATGACCCCCACAACTCCACCTCCCAATGACCTCAACAGGTCCACCTACCAATGACCTCGCACCTCCACCTACCATGTCTATGGTCTCCACTGGTGCCATTAAACCCGTTGGCATCTTCATGCCGAGATCCTCAAACTCGGCGTCCCTGAGTTTATTGACCTTCTGTCGACACAGCCAGCCCCTCCAAGCACACTGGATCTTGACAACCTTGGCCATCATGGCAGGAATTCTGTTAATTTCTCGAATCAGTAGCATACACCGACCGTCTGGTACGTACCTACAGAGGCAGATTTTAACTTGCTAAAAGCCTAATTATATATATATATATATATATATATATATATATATATATATATATATATATATATATATATATATATGCATACGTATACATATTAGTATTAACATGAACATTCACATTCCTACGTACACGTACAAGCACAAATTCAATAAACCGGGAGTGATCTCCCCTAAACTTTCTCGAATATTCTTATATAAAATAACAGGGGATGGGAACTCGGGCTATAGAAATGATTTTTAATCCATTTTAAATACTTAAAGTTTTAAAAATAGAATAAAATCTCGTAGACAAATTAATTGCACACCAAGTGAACGCTAAATAAAAAACGCATAATAGTGCGCAATATTATTAGTACTTTAAAAATTTACATTAGTTTTTTGAGAAATCGGATGTAGCGTAAAGTACTACTTCGAGTCAACGTAAATTACTCAAAATTTTACAGAAGGTAGAGAATTAGATCTTTTACTTACATGTGAAATATCATTTATCTATCTGAAATAGTACTCAAGTTATAGGCTTTTGAAAAATTCAAAGTAGAAAAAGTACCACTTCCGGTTGTCGGAAATCGCTCAAAAGTTGATACGGATCTACGATTTTGATATAATACTTATATATGAAATGTCATCAACCTAGCTGTAACGGTACTCAAGTAATCGTGTTTACACACGGACAGACACACAGACACACACACACAGACATACGGACAAGATTGCAAAATTATGTTTTTCCGTATCAGTGAGGTGTAAAACGTCGAGATTTGTAAAAATCTCGATTTTTTTTCTGCACGATTACAATACTTTCTCTATACTTCGTATATACGAGAAAGTAAAAACGTACACGCACACGTACACTAACTCTGATCTTAAATTAAGTGGTACAAAAAAAATGTTAAATGCGGTTCTAAATTACGTGACCATTCCGGCTGTCTTTATTGTATTGAAAACTGTCTCCGGTTGATGATATAAAGATAAGGGTCCTTTTTTTAAGTCGAAAAATAATTTTAGGCCTCATGTAAACTCCACGTCTTTTTACATTTTAAAAATCCTTAATATTTTAGCCAATGTTTTATAAAACAGCAAGTCTTTACTTGTTACGGCAAAACCTTACGGCTTTTTTTTCATCCTTATCTTTCGCTTTTTGTGCGAAAGAGACATGGACCCACCACAGAAAGCAGTGTTTCTTCCAGACTTTTTTTCTCCTGGGGGGGGGGCGGACTATAATTTCCGGGAGGAGGCACTGTTAAAAGTATATATTTTCTATATAAATTCCATTTCGAAGAGATGCCTGGAAGAAACTGAGAAAGCTCTCTCCACTTTAGTGGGTCACCGGCAATTTTCCAGGCAGTACCCCATGACAGTCCTGTCTTTGCCAGCTGATTCCCCTAAAAACCTTACGGATTGTTTTCCTTGAAATTATTTTACCTATGAGTTTCCTCCGCTGACTTAACCTCTTTGGGTACATTGTCAACTTTTGACTTGACCGACTCTGGCCCTTGACTTGGCCCCCCAGACCTCGTCAGCTCCTCCACACTGACGGCCCCGGCTGTCTCTATCCTCTTCAGCATCCACGCCAAGAGTTGCTGTCTCATGCCGAGAACTTCTCGCCTGTCCTGTGTAAGGGAGATAATCATGGTGGTAACCGTTTGTGTGAGTAGTGTACCTTGATTAGAGTGGGCGGGGTTACTAGAGAGTTATATAGAACAGGGGCGTAGCGAGGGGCGGGGGGATGGTGCGGACCGCACCGGGTGACACCATTTAGGGGGGTGACACCAAGGCAAAAAAATAGCAAAATATATACAGAAAAATTATAATTCCACTTAATTAAGTGATTACTTAGACTGTTGAATAGTCTTTTAAGAGCAAATTTGACAAATACCGACAAGGTTTGAGGGGTGGGGGGTGCAAATCGAAAATTTGAGGGGGGTGCAAATCAAAAGTTTGAGGGGGGGGGGGTGCAAATCGAAAATTGAAAGTTTGTCCCCGGGAAGGGTCGCTACGCCTCTAGGGGGTGACACCATTAAGTGCCGCACCGGGTGACACCCGACCACGCTACGCCACTGATATAGAAGTCAGTGATTAAGGCAAAATTGGGTAATTCGTTGTGATATCTAAAAATTTCAAGAAAATTCTTCGTGTTCAGTTTCTAATACAAGACATTATTTAGTTTGTTTGTTGTAGTTTTTTTTTTATTTGTTGTGTTCCTTTTTAGAAAATTCTGATACTACACTAGTGAAATTGTATGAACTGGGATGGTACGAACTCACACATTACATAATTTATACACTGGGATTGTGTGGAATCACATTATATCTGAGATGGTATGAAACACATATCTACAATGGGATTGTATTAATTCACATATGCACAAGGATGGTATAAACTTACACTGGGATGGTATGAACACATGTACACTGGGATGGTATGTTCTCACATTAACATATAGTCCGATATTATATTAAATCATATGTAGCATATACACTAAGATAGTATAGACTCACATCTAACATATACACTGTGATGGTATGGACACATACACTGGGATAGTATAGACTGTATGTAACATAGACTGTGATGGTATAAACTCACATGTAACATATAGACTGGGATAATATAAACTCACATGTAACATATAGACTGGGATAATATAAACTCACATGTAACATATAGACTGGGATAATATAAACTCACATGTAGCATATAGACTGGGATAATATAAACTCACATGTAACATATAGACTGGGGTAATATAAACTCACATGTAACATATAGACTGGGATAATATAAACTCACATGTAACATATAGACTGGGATAATATAAACTCACATGTAACATATAGACTGGGATAATATAAACTCACATGTAGCATATAGACTGGAATAATATAAACTCACATGTAACATATAGACTGGGATAATATAAACTCACATGTAACATATAGACTGGGATAATATAAACTCACATGTAACATATAGACTGGGATAATATAAACTCACATGTAACATATAGACTGGGATAATATGAACTCACATGTAACATATAGACTGGGATAATATAAACTCACATGTAACATATAGACTGGGATAATATAAACTCACATGTAGCATATAGACTGGAATAATATAAACTCACATGTAACATATAGACTGGGATAATATAAACTCACATGTAACATATAGACTGGGATAATATAAACTCACATGTAACATATAGACTGGGATAATATAAACTCACATGTAACATATAGACTGGGATAATATGAACTCACATGTAACATATAGACTGGGATAATATAAACTCACATGTAACATATACACTGGGATAATATAAACTCACATGTAACATATAGACTGGGATAATATAAACTCACATGTAACATATACACTGGGATAATATAAACTCACATGTAACATATACACTGGGATAATATAAACTCACATGTAACATATACACTGGGATTGGTATCTCCAAATTCTCCGGAATAAGGCCCATATCCTGCAGTAAATCGTCGAAGTAGTGGATGAGAGATCGATCCCAATTGATCATCTGGTGCTGATTGGAAATTTAAAAAAATTAACGGGACTGCCATTTCATGGGTGGTAAGTGGGGGCGGTGGGAGGGGGAGGGGTGATACATTTTCTTAGAATTGTATTCTAACCCCAAGCCCCATCCATTATATTATTTAGTCTTTCCCCGTGGTTAAATAACGCTAACCAAGGCTGGTACTTTATATTAGTCTTCCCCATGGGAAGGCCGATCCTTTATATTTGTCTTTCCCCCTGTGTGAATGACGCTAACCAAGGCCTATCCTTTGTTTATCCTCACCTGTGTGAATGACGCTAACCAAGGCCGATCCCTTGTTTTTCCTCACCTGTGTGAATGGCGCTAAAAAGGCCGATCCTTTATATTTTTACCTGTGTGAATGACGCTAACCAAGGCTGATACCTTACCTTGATCTCGCAGATGCGTCCTCCCGTAGACTCGATACATTTTTTCAGCAATTTTCTTTTCTGTGGGTGGATGAGCCGGGGCAGACAGTCGACGAGCTTCTGGAAGACTTGGATGTATTGGATGTATCTACAGTACAGAGAAAAATAACGTGAGATAGTTCGTAGAGTTCCTATATAATAGATTAATTATTAATTACGCACAGAATTCACATCAGCGTCGTTAGTTTGGTTGTTACTCAAAGGTGTCTTCCCAATCAAATAAACAGAATATGTGTGTGTATATATATATATATATATATATATATATATATATATATATATATATATATATATATATATATATATATATATATATATATATATAAATATATATATATATAATGTATGTCTGTGTATGCCAATACAAAAACCGAAAACCCCAACATCAATGTGGTCGAGGAGGTTCCTCTTAGGAAGGGACATTAAAGCCCACAACTGGATTGGGCATACCCTGAGAAGGGAAGGATAATATCGCGAGGGAAGCATTAGACTGGAATCCCCAGGGGAAGAGGAAAATAGGCCGGCTAAGGAAATCCTGGGGAAGGGCAGTAGAAAATGAGGCAAAGGCTGCTGGGCTTACGTTGGTGAATGTAAAGAGAGATACCCAAAACAGAGTCCTGTGAAGAGGTGTGGCTGTAGCCCTTTGCTTCCCAGAGGCCATAAAGGAAAAAGTCAAGTCATGTATGTATAAGAGATAGATGTTAATTTGGGGGGGGGGGGGGTAAAACCTTTCGACTTTTCATATTTAGGTGTCATCCTCTTTAATGAATTTGGTGTCGCCCTGTAAGTGCTGCGAACCACCTATAAATTCCTAATAGACGCCGCTGATTAAACCAAGCTGCCCCCTCCCCTTTCTCCCCCCTACACCCCCCCCCCCCCACACACACACACTGGTGCTGGTACCTACTTCTGACAAAGGTATGTGAACGTCTCCTCTCTCTTGATCTGCTTGTAATCAAACGGGAGCCCAGTCTCGTCTACTTTCGGTTCTGACTTAATGAGCTTGAAGAGGCTGGTGATGGCGTTGTGCCACTGGACATTCCCGAAACCGGGCAGTACTTGGCATCTGTTTCAAGGGGGGAGTAGAACTCTAGTTAAAATTGTACAGAGCGAGATTTGTGGCGTTATGTCTTGTGAGTTATTGTTACGTCCCTTGTATTACATTTTCCATAGTTATGTCCCTTGAGTGTGTAGTGTGTAAGCTGTTTGTTTACGTCCGAAGTCACTGTAAACGAGGTGCTCAGAGGTTGTTAATGTTATATACATGGCTTATAAATTGTTTGTCAACTTGACGGGGTCAACTGTTGTGTTCTCAGTACAAAGAGTTGATAAATGTATTAACATTTAAGTTAGGACTCCCCCCCCCCCCCATCTCCTCCTTAAAATGATTAGTTGACTGACTAGTATAACCAGTAGCGTAGCGATGTCGGGTGTCACCCGGTACTGCACTAAATGGTGTCACCCCCCAGAGGGGTAGCGATCCTTCCCGGGGACAAACTTTCATCAAATTTTCGATTTGCACCCCCCCCCCCTCAAACTTTCGATTTGCACCCCCCCTCAAGTTTTTCTCTATATATTTTGCTATTTTTTGCCTTGGTGTCACCCCCCTAAATGGTGTCACCCGGTGCGGTCCGCACCTCCCGCCCCCCCCCCTCGCGACGCCTCTGAGTATAACTCAGTACGAAGAGGTCAAGTTAGTCAGTTGAACGAAGCTCGTCGTGCGTTCGGCATTCTGAGCAGACCGAGAATCTAAATGACTACTAATCCAAACTCACGTAATTTATTTGTTAAACATGAAATAAAGAATACTAAAAACTTAACTATGTTTCTGCCTTCAACAAGGTAGATTCAAACAAAATGACAGCAATATTCTCTCTGTATAACCCCCAAACAGCATTACAATTTGAATTTAGCACGGCTGTGCTTGATATTATTTACTAATTTTAAACCAAACCTAAATTTATAAATCTCGTGACTGTCACCATCATCTCATCATCTTTTCCCGTTCGTGCCCATGGCATATGGGGAAGATGAAGTAGAGTTCATCTGTTTCAGAGACCTCGGCATATAAAGGTATAGTGTGGTCAGCACTATGGACAGCCGCCTTTACGTTCCCTAAACTAAGTTTGATACCCATCAGAGCTGGGTGGACAGCTACATTCTACTGACTTTGAACCCAGAATCGAATTCCAGACTTTCTGGTTAGCAATCTAGCTCTCTACCGTTAGGCCACACCGTCCCATTCTCGTAACAGTAGTTTACAATATCAATTGTTATTCACACATTCCTCAAACTACTTTAACTTAAAGTCACATCACGCTATTTTAGGCCAACAACTGGTGTTTAGACCAGTAGCGTAGGCAGGGGGGTTAGGGGGGGTCATAACCCCCCCCCCCATAGACCCCTCGGTATATATATAACAAGTTTGAGGGGGGTGCAAATCGAAAGTTTGAGGGGGGTGCAAATCGAAAGCTTGAGGGGGGTGTAAATCGAAAGTTTGAGGGTGGGGGTGCTAATCGCAAGTTTGTCCCCGGGTAAAAATTGGAAACCCCCCCCCCCTCCACCCCACCCCTTGAGACGATCCTGGCTACGCCACTGGTTCAGACCAACCATCAACCAGTACCGCAGAAAACGCCTTCACTTACACACGTTTAACAACCACTTTTGCTTCCTTTTTCTTAGCTCCTTTTTTAGTCCTCTGACTAGACTTGCGGTTAATGGCACCGCGGGACTCGCCCGCCATGGAGGTCCTTCAATCTACAGGATATGAAAGATATTTTAAATATTTTTTTGTAAACACGCCAACATGTCATTTAACAGAGCTTATTTTCTTCTATTTATTAGATTACTGAATGTAGACATCGGGCATTTTTTTAGCGATGGTAACCCCGCCCCCCCCCCCCCTCATATATTTTTTATAATTATAATTCAAAATAGCAGCTCCCCCCCCTCCACCAAATGCGTCACGGGGCAAGTGAAGTAGAGTTCGGCTGTTTCTGTAACCTCGGCAGATGGAGGGATAATATGGTCAGCACTACAATCAGGCGATATTTTGTTCAATCAATTTTTATCCGGTTCTATTAGGTATCTTTTTTTTCCAGTAAGTTATGTCAGTTATTTGGTTTGGTGTCACCCTTGATTATGTCAACCTAGTATTATAAGGAGAACAAAATGGTCAACAATTAAAACGGAATAATAATGTATAGACTAGATCATATATCTAGGAATCTACAATTTATAAAAAGAAAGTAAACAAATTAGCTCACGAAGAAATTAGGCCTACATTGAAGTATTAAACCGAACTCAAATAGGTGGCTTATTCTTATATTTTTCATAAATTAAATTTATTTAAAACAACTAGTTTAAGTTTAAAATAACCCAAGTAAAGAGACTTAGTTTGTAGTGAAGTAGATGACAATACAACAAAAAAATACCTTCAAATAGTTTTAAGTTCACCTGACACACACACACTCTCACACTTTGTTGGCATAGTCGACTACCGGCTACCTATTTGTTCTACGAATACGATATCTGAGTGAAATGAGAAAAACGATCTGCTAAAGTTCAAAGATGGGAAAATTGATGAGTTACTTGTGTGTCAGTTAGGTGGTGATAAGGTTAAGATTTATGGATAATGTACTTAAAGCATAAAAAAAAATTTTACATTTATAATTTGCGTTTAAGTGGGTCTAACAACCCACTTCTTATTTCCTCACACACACACACACAAACACGCACGCAAACACTCCATAATACTACCGAAAGTTGCTAAATAACACCTATACATCTGTGATTATCCAGATGTATAAATAGGGGAATGTATAATGTACAGTCCTTGTGTAGTTGTACAAGGCAAGCGATGCAAGAAATTAGCCCACTAGTATCGACTACTTTAAAAGAGTATCGTAATTTTTAAAGACGATTTCTTGTTTTCATTTCCTTGCGTCGCATCGTCATGCTAATTGGTGCACACTTTTTCTGTGCTTGAGAGAGATGCAATGAAATCTTCTTTCACGAAAAAAAAAGTTGTTTATTTTCTAAGTTTTTAGGGAAATCACAGAACTTTAGGGAAACTATAATTTATAACCTACATTGTGCCCCATTAAAAAAAAAAAGAATACGCGTACATAAGAGCTCACCAGTTTCAGTAAAACCTTCATAGGAAGTGATAATGCGGTCAGCACTATGCTCAGCATGACGGTAGGCTACAAGCCTGCTGACCCAAAAGTCATAAGTTCGAATCCCGGGCTCCAGTCCATAGGATGGATACCTGACTTTCGTTTAGGAAAGTTGACGCGACCCCAAAGTCCTAACCCCCCTCCCCCCCCCCCCCCCCCACCCCACACACACACGACTATGTAATACATGATGGACTAAAAGTATAGTCAATTTGGAATCTTCTCCATCCTGATTGTTAGCTAGATTTCGTTGCTTAGTCATCCGCTTAGTCCGCTACGAAAGGCGACCAAACTATCTCTGCATCTACGGAAATCGCAGAACCAGGTGAACTCTACTTGACCTGCTCCATTGACCCAGGTTCGAAATCGTAACTTTACCTTCATTTTATTATGTCCAGTTGCCATCACCCCTCTATTAGATATGTACACATACAGACAAGGGTTACTCTGTAAGACACCAGGTTACGACCTACTATTATGATGAGGGTTGGGGTGGGGGACATCAAGTTTTAAAGTAGTTTCTACTTTAACGTCGACATATGTACCTATGTCCACCTTTGGCATTTAAATAATAATGTCAACATTATGTCTAACAAAGCCTGCTTCCAACACCATTTCATGTTTAGGCCTACCCTAAAGTTGTTTCTACAATTTAGTCTAACATAAACAGGTTGCGTTGTAAACAGTGGCGTAGCGAGGTCGGGTGTCACCCGGTGCGGTACTTAATGGTGTCACCCCCCAGAGGCGTAGCCACCCTTCGATTTCCACCCCCCCCCCCCTCAAACTTTAGACTATTTAACATTCACCCCCCCCCCCCCCGCTACGCCACTGGTTGTAAATGCAATGTTGCTCCCAAAATATGTTAGCCGAAAAGTGTATTATAAACAGTCTCATTACATGTGAGTCTCTTAGAATCGTCATACAGATAAGGTTAGATAAGAAAATGCAAAAAAATTGTGCGGATGATATACTTACTAATGAACTTCGTCGAGCCTAAATAAGTTTACTTATTATTTCATCAACGGAATTTTGTTTGCTACTTTCAATCATAAAACATCTAATAACGGAACTCAATAAATATTGTTTTATCTGGTTCTTGTACCACAGCAAATACATGGGCCTAAAATTGATTTTTTTTTCAATTAAAGGGATTGTACTCTAATTTACTTAAAGTTTATGTTTATTTCATTAATTTCCCTTCGACCTCATTATGCCGATATTTAGATCTATGACTCATTGAATGTTCATTTTAAAGCATTCTGAATTGATAGTTTTAAAATGTTACTGATTAATGATGGTGATCGATCTTGTAAAAATTAACAGATTTTAGACTGATAATGTCAAAAAGTCTTTATTAATTCTCGGAAGGCTAGAGAGATGGCGATGGTCTTTGAACATCTTAGGCCAAGCCGAAGCATTTTCAACAAAGAGTAACATCCCTTGTACTGTTGCTTGGCAACGTGGAGTCAAAATGGCGACATTGTTTTTCATAACATGAGTACTTCGCTAGTTTTTTGCTAGATGAAATACCTTTTCATATTTTAAAAATCATTAGGTTTCAAAAATGAAAAATATATTTGAAATGCCAATAGTTTAAATTTTAGACGGAACCTTTACTTTAAACCGAAGGTATGAAGGAAAGATGAAGGAAGGAAGGAAGGACGGTTGTTGAGTTCAAGTTGTGTTGTGTTGTTTTTTTTAGTCAAAATTGTAAAAAAAAAAAAAAAACGCAGGCCATAGGCTCTGTGACAGTGACAACGTTGCTACTCTCAGTATATTCAGTTTTGAGTCTTTCTTTTGTCTGTTTGTATTAATTATATATTATATAGAGTTTAGAGTAGGACTATTTTATATTTCATTATTTTGGCTCAATAAATAATTAGGTAATCTATCGGTTTGTTTTAGGTACGTAAAATCGCCCGCGACTAGTAATGTGAAAAACAGGTGACTCCTTAAATTTTAATAATTATTTCACATTTTGATGAGGATTTATGTTTTGAAAAATACAAAAATGTTTCCTTGTTTCATTTATGTACATGTTTTTAAAAAATTTCAGTAATAAATGAAGAGTAGCGATGCTTTCATCAGATGCAACCATGCTCATTTACTGTAGCAGCCATCTTGTTCAAGTTTTATTTTGTTAAATTTATAGCGAAGATTCAGGGGAAGCCACTTTATTTTACAAATGGCTGCTGTTTATATAGCAAATCTTGCTCTCAAACACTGCTGTTTAAAGTTAATTTCTGGCCTACATTGATATATTTAGCCATTGATTTAGGTTTATTATTCAGTTATCTAGAATATTTGACACAGATAATTCACAATATACTTCTATTAAAGCCTTGACAATGAGGTAACTTTTTCCTACATTACTAGCCGCTGCCGATTTTACGTACCTAAAGCGATAGATTACCAATAATTAATATGTATTACTAATTTTAGTATGCCTAATTTAATAGGCTAATAGATCTTCTAATATTTAAATTAAATTAATTTTTTAAAATTATATATTACTATGATTAGGAAAGATGTGTAAGGTATCATAAGGTTGGTAAAGTTAAATTGTTGATGTTCAAACTGACTTATTATCTAAAATAGAAAATAAACAATCAGTAATGGCCACAGAAAGTATGCATCGCTTAAGTACTGCAGCATCATTTAAAGAAGATGAATTGGAGGATCATCAGATTTCTGTTGAATATGAGTCAGGAGCAAAGTTTGAAGGAAGAGTCATAAACCACAAACGTGTTGGAAAGGGAACTTTTGTGTGGCCTAATGGGTCAAAGTATGAAGGAGATTATGCTGATAATCAGAGGCATGGCATTGGTAAGTGCACAATTTAAATTCATTTTAAAACTGAATACAAATATTTATACACATTTTTTTTTAATGTTTATTCTAAAAATACAAGGCCTATTTGGCAATTCATCATGGTTGTTTTGTATTGAAGACAACTGGGTTTTATACCAATTAGATAACCTGTAGTTCATTGTGGAAATTGTAAAATGTTTATGTTTTATATAAATAAATTTGAAGTTAACATTTTGATTGGTTTTAAGAAAAAAGTTTTTCGGGTCTTCATGATATGATAATTGTTTGATTGTAGAACTTTTGGGTTAATTTATTAACTTTTAAATTTCCATTTTTGAAAAAATAAATAAACCAACTGAAAAATAAGTAAACACATTTGTTTAAAAAGTTGACCTCAGGTTTTTCAATGTTTTCTACTCATATTTTAAAGCTTACAAAAATAAACTCATTCATATAAAATGTGTAGGCACCCAACATTGGAGTGATGGAAGTTATTACACAGGAGAGTTTGAACATGACTTGAGACATGGCAGGGGCAAGATTGTGTGGTCCAATGGGGAGGTAAGCATGCATTTTCCTTTAGGTTATGTTCCTTTACATTAAAGCTGCTTATCTTAACATTATACACATCTGTTAGAATTTTAAAAGGTGATAATAAACTCATTGATTAACACTACATTATGAAAGCACATGGTTACTATATTTTAAAAGTCCTGAGTTTGAGCCCCCTGGCCCATTAGCTGGAACAGCAATCTCTCATGTAGAGAAAATGCAGAAATTAAACCTTTTTGGAAGCTCCTGTGACACAACTGATGCCAAAATGGCTACATCGGCAATGTGTAGAGAGAGGAGGGCCTTAAATATGGGCAAAATGTTTAGTTCTTCTAAACTTACTAATCAGGCTTAGTGCTTTGAATTCCAAGGCACAATTATTCAATCATCTTTCAGATTATGGAGCCAATTATTTATTTATACAGACACTAGTAGTTGTAATGCTCTGCAGTAACAAAAAATATAAACCTGAATCCTTTTTTAAAATTTATTTGTTTTATTCCATTTTTAGTTATAAGATATATATGAGGGTTAAAAATAGTGTCATTTTATAGGGGACTAATATTTTGCTTTTTGCTTCTGTAGAGTTACGAAGGAATATTCTTTAAAGACAGACGGCATGGTAAAGGCACATACCAATGGCCTAATGGCTCATCCTACTCAGGAACATTTTATATGGACAAAAAAGAAGGCTATGGGACTTTTGTATTTGAGAATGGAGATGTATTTCAGGTAGATTAACAGGGCAGTTTTATTCATAATTTTTTTTTTCTTGTAAAAAGTCCAGTTTTGTATTGAGGTTGTTTATTATGCTACCTGTGAATCAAGGTAAGGATTAACTTCCGGTTTAGTGTTGCATAATTTCTTTTTCTTAAAGACTCTATCTGTTAATATTTTATAGTTTGGATTATGTACATAACTTTCTTTGAAATCTCATTATTATTTTAACAATGATTTCTCTTACCCTACAGGGACTGTATAAAGAAGATGAGAGAGAAGGGCCTGGTGTAATCACCTACCAAAACGGCCAAGAAGATGTGGGATTATGGAGTGGGGAAAAACTTATAAAACTCTGCTCACCTATAAAAGGAGCATTTACCTTGAACTCCTGCCCAGAGTTTGACTTTAAACCTGAGGAAAATATTTCTTACATTGACATGTCAGAAAAAGATGATACCGGTTCAACCATTGATCATATTTTGAACCCCAAGCTGGCCTTTGATTATATGCCTAAGCCTAACCTGAGCAACAGAATTCAGGAAATTTTAAGCCCTGCTTTGGATTCCCGAAGCCTTGCTGTCAACCGTAAAGCATTTGATGCTGAGTTTTTCAAAAACTTTTCACAGCAATCAGAGACAGCTGATAAGGTTGTAGCTTGGAACGCCACACCATCATTGATCGCTTTACAAAAACACACCATCCGGCACTGTGATGGGGCATCCAGTGTTCAGTTTGATGTGGAGTCTGTTCTAAAATTAGATAGGTCAAAGTTCAAAGGCAAAGGGCCACTAGAGAGGCAATCTGAGGAGCTGATAACAGCCGCTGCCAAAGGAGATGCATCGAGAGTGGAACTGCTGCTGTCTTCTGGACAGGTGCATCCTGATGTAGCGGATAGAGATGGATACACCCCACTAATTGGAGCAACAGTAATAAATCCTTTTTTTATTATTTAAATTAACGTATTAAAGATGATAAGTAGGTTAGTTAGTGGAATACAAAGATGTGCATTAATAATGATATAATTCAAACATGAACTTATTGAATACAGTATTTTTTTTATTCTGTTAGTATATATATTATCAATTTGTTAAACTATCCTAAAGAGTCATCTATTAACAGTGTTACTCAACTAGGGAAAGGGTGCATAGACATTTATGACAATACCATAAAGGCTTTTTTCTTTAAAAAAATGATGCTAGAATTATCTTAATTTAGGACAAGGATAGAATTTAGTTATATCATTTAGGAAATAGGGGGGAAATGGATATTACGATGAGGTTTGATGGTTGAGATAAATTTGGCTTTACTTGTGTTATGTCATTGATTGACAAATGCTAAAGTATTTTACTATGATTTAACCATTTTTTTTTTCATTATATTCCAATCTTTTAAAATCCATACCTAAGTTTCCATTAGCATTTAAAAACATACTTTATACATTGTGCCTCAGTTTACTCGTTTTCATCTAAATTTTTTTTTTTTAATGCAGGTAAACTGGCACATAGATGTGATAAATATTCTTTTAAATCAAGGTGCAGACGTCAACAAACTTAGTGACGAAGGGTGCTCTGCCCTTGCTGCTGGGGCCATCTTCTATTACCCCATTGAAGGGTTTACATACAACATTGCTGAGAGATTCATGAAACCTCTTCAAGACATCCTCAAGTCAACTCTAAAGCCAGAGACACAGCCTAAGGGTATATTAGTAAACACCAAAGAACGAAGAGTTAGCCGGCTTAACCAGATTAACCGGATCAGGTCACAGTCAGTTGTATCGGCCCCAATCAACCTCGCGTCTAAATCTGTCTCGTTAATGGAACAAACGTCTACTTTAGACGAGCCTGTCGATAATGAGGAAATTTCAAATCTCCTAAATGAGAATTCTCAACCTAGTCCTGATGAAGATGCTGATTCCGCCTACGGTGGTGAAAATGACATCCAAGGAGATGATAGTGAAAAAGAAAGGAATGAAGAGGGAGAAGATTTTGAGTCAAACCACAGTATCAGGAATTACCATATAGAAGTCTCGGAGCAATTGGTGGAAAGGTGTGCCACACACCTGAGTCAGAACGAGCGAATTATTAGCAGAGAGGCTTCTGAAGTTGGTGAAGGGAAAGCCAGATTTTTAGCCATCCAGTTATCCCAGTAAGGAACTTTATTTTCCTTTATTTTTAATGTCTCCATTTTAACACACTTTTAATTGATACACTTTTGCTCTTATGGGATGGCATGGTCTAGAGGTAGAGCACTACATTGCTAACCCGAAAGTCTCAAGTTTGAATCTGGGTTCAGTAAAACATCCCTGAGTCCATCCAACTCTGATGGGTACCTAACTCACATTAGGGAAAGTGAAGGTGGCAAGGCATAGTGCTGACCACAAAATCTCTTCAAATGCTGAGGTCACATGAGCAGGTGAACTCTACTTTATTTGCCCCATGGATCATCAAGCTCAAAAAGGGAACTTTATTTTTTACTGTTGCTCTTAATCAAAAAAGTATCATGAATTTAGATGTAAGTCTTGAAGATAATTTTAGTTTTTATTGCTTTTTTGTATTTAAATTTTTTCAGTATGGTGTATTTATTAATAATTCAGGATAAGGGTTAGATGTTTTTTGGCTGAGATACAGATTCTGATTGTATGGTTTAAGATACTAATGTGACTATGTCAAAAGATACTTGTTTAAGATGATCTGGGGTTTATAAAAATATTTTCCAACTGAATGATTTATTGTCCTTTATACTGTTGCTTGCAAGAAAGTATTTGAAAGTTGTTTTTTTTTCTTAGGATTTCTTTCAAACAATTTAAAACTAAGTAACTCTGTTATTTCTGACTCGATTGAAAAAAATAATGTAAATGATGTTGCATAATATTTTGCAGGAATGAAAGAATGAAAGAAACTTTGGATCTTCTTCTAAGAAGAGGTGCTGACCCTAATGCATCCTTTGTACCAATGCCTGTTTTATTTTTTGCCATAAAGTCTTCTGATGTTGACATGGTTAAACAGCTTCTTCTCAAGGGAGCTAACCCAAATACAAAACTAGGAAAAGAGGTACCCATTCTGTTTATTTCAAATTTTTATACCTAGAATAAATAATTTAAATATTATATTTAAAAATATAAGTTTGATAATAAAATTGAAAACTAAGTTTAATCACAAACAGATTAAACACCCTGCTAATGTTCTTTTTTTGCCTGAATGCAAAAAATTGAAACCTTAAGTATTTTATTTAAACAACCTCTATTTAATTTTGTAATAATTATTTTAAATTATTACGAGCCTGCTGGATTATACATGGCAACTATGTTTCTAAAAAATACAATTTGTTTACAGAGAGGCGGCCTGTATCCCCTACACATATCCTGTGCCATAACTGGGGAGGAGGGAATACAAATCACAGAGCTACTTCTAAATGCACTGGCTGACCCAGATGCCAGGGCTGAGGAAGATGACTCTTTTTTAAATAGAAATCTGGTAACATTTATTGTTTCTGTATTTTTTTGTTTTAACTTTCTTTCCTTATTATTTTTTTAATCTTTCAAAACACACATTTTACTATCTACTTTTCTGTGCAATTTGTATGGTATAATCAATGCAATACAACAAAAAGTATTTATTTTCAAGGAAGAAGAGTGGTTAAAAGATCCCATATCAGAGGAATCAAAACAACTTCTAGGAGGAAGGACAGCTTTGCAGATTGCGTGTGCCAGGGATGATAATTATAAAGTAAATACAAAATAAGTAACTTTTATTTACAAAGTAATTGATTTTTTTTCTATAATACATTATATTATTTTCAAAATACTTATATCATTTCTTTTTCCTGTTCTAAAATTTCAAATCACATGGAATTGGTTCAAAATCTTATTTTATTAGGCACCTAAACTCAAGTCTGGGCTGATAAAACAATTGTGTTTTTAGTTTTAGATAATGAAAATGATAACTGAACTAAAGCAAACATTTTTATTTAATAAACATTTTCTTAAATGCCATGTACAGAATGCAAGTCGAGTTGTCAGGCTGCTTCTAGAACACAAAGCCAACTCCAGCTTGATCTGCAATGGCTTCTCTGCCCTTGCCCTTGCTATTGCCAGTGGTAATGATCTGGTAAGTTATTTAAATCATTTTTCTGAAGAAAAAAAACTTACGGCACTTGGTGTTCAAAGTCAATACTCATCTTTTTTAGTTGTTATTAAATGTAAAAATTTGTTTTTCTGAGTTCAATATTCAGAAACTTAGTTAGACATCTTTCAAATTAATTATATTATTTTCACATAACACCTGTTTTTTTTTTGGGTATATAATTTTTGTAAGCCAAACTGTGTTTTTTTTCTTGTTTTGATTTTTAATTTATTAATGAGTAATGGGAAATTAGTTTAAATTACCCAGGGTCTACAGAATGATGAAATATGTATTTTGCAGACATGCATCCGAATTTCACACTTGTTCAAACTAGATGGCATGTTATGTTTTTAAGAAATAACATTTAATGAGATATCCCATTACTGCATTAAAATCAACAATAGTCTACTTTGCTGACTTAAATATTTGATTGTTGCACTATAATACTGAATTCTTTACAAGTTATAACTTCTTAAAATGGCTTCTTTTATACTCATAAAAAATACTAAATATCCCTTTTTTAGCTTATAATAATCTTAAAATGAAAAGCTTACAATCTTAACATGTAATGTGCAGGCCATTGATGAATTATTGGCCTTTGGTGCTGACCCCAGCCTCCCATTGACCCACGGGGTAGGCAGTGCTTTGTGTGTAGCTACAAGCACTGAATACGAGCATCAGAGAAGCATCCAGGCCAGGGTACAGCTGGTGAGTCCGTCCACACTTTTCTCATTTGTTCAAGTTTTTGATGACTATTGTTGTAGGTAATGTCAGCTTTTATAGTCAGTAGAGTTTTAAGTTTTTTATGACTATTGTTGTAGGTAATGTCAGCCTTTGAAGTCAGTGGGGTAGAGACTTGGGTTAGGCTTAACATTGATAAGTTGGTAGAGTTGGTACATTTTAGAGTAAGGGCATGGTGTTATGATTGGTGGTTCAGTGTTCAAGTATAAAGTTGAGTTAGTAATTTCCTGCTTGCAAAAGGAAATTTACCAATTTACCTGCTTTCAACAGATAAATAACATTAACATGTAATCAAAAGCAATTTCAGAATTTTGTTAAATTGGTCCCCCATAACATATGTGACACGCTGTGATAATTAAAATTTTGAAATTAAATTAAATTAATTACATGATCAGTAATCAGTTAGGCAAATCTAAGACACCAATATTTTGTCCAGGCTCTTTATTTATGGTTTGTATCAACCAGAATAAATAATCAACATATAAATGTACTAGCTTTAACATAATTAGTAAATTTTTTGTTTATTAAGACCTGACAACAACCAGAAGAAATATAAAAGTTAAAATCTAGAATAATAAATTAAACTACATTAAACATTTTATGACTTTTATTTTTATGCTTGTAGGTTGATAAACTAATCAAGGCAGGGGCGGATGTGCTGGCTCCAATTCTAATAGGACCAAAGCGTCAAGTGGGCACAGCCGTTGACTATGCTTATTACATGTTTAATCAGGTGAGTTACTGTGTAAATCAATGTCAGTGTGTAAATAAATGTTCACATCACTTTTCATTGTGGCATTTGTGTTATTTTGTTGTTGTGTTGAATTTTGTTGTTAATAAATGTAGTTTAATTCTGCTCGACACATATTTTCATTAAAGTATAAAATATTTTTTATAATTTTAGATTTAGGATATTTAATTTAAAACTGTCAGCTTTAAAAATATTTATGAAAAATTACCTAGGACCTATTATTTTTTTTAATGTTAGATGGCATGCATAAAAATACTGTATTTTTTTTTTCACTATTTAATCATCAATTCACTGTTGATTGTTGTCAAGTATATGTCATTTCTTGTAAATATTTCCATCACCATGGTCATACAAAATTTTATGATACTTTGTCTCTACAAAAGCTGGTTTCACATACAGATTTCACTGTTGTGTTGTTGTGTTGTTTTAAATCACAAAATTGACTTCACAATTTGTATAGGATCGTAGAATTGCACATATGCCTTACCATGCACTAACTCATGCTGAACGTGAAACGTATAATGCACGTCGTAAATTGCTTGGTCACATTGGTGATATCATGCGCATCAAAGCAGTTGAGAGAGAGAAAAAAAGAAATGTTATTATAGAAAAGGAGGGAATCAGATGTAAGTTGTCTTATTTCAGAAAAAAATATTATTTTTATCATCACTATAACATTTCATCTGCTTAAATATAGCTATACATAAAAGGAAAGCTTTAAAATGAGAATTTCTATAAAATTATCTATAATTGAATATTATTTAAAGTTATATTGTTTTGTTGTCAGTTTATTAACTAGAATTCATATTACTTTTTTGTGTTAAAAAGAAAGCTTTAAAATAAAAAAAATATATAAAATTGTATATAATTAAAAGTATTATAAATTTTCATTGTTTGGTTTGTGTACTAATGAATAATTAAGTTTAAATGGCTAATTTTTCTTTTGTTGTTTTGATCTGAAGGCCAGAGTGCTAGCACCAACTTTGTTTACATTGGTGCTGGCGCTAAGCTGCCACCTGGTGTCAGGTCAAGGTATGCATCAGCTCACCAAGACCAAAATCAGGTTGTATTTGACCCCACACTAGGGCAGGGTGAAGGACAGAGTAGAGCATCAACACCAACAAAGTGAGTCTTTGTCTTGTGTCTCAGACTTGAAATTTTTCCAAAAGTTTGTGTGCTCTATTTTTTAAAAATATCTCATAGCATAAATAAAATAATTTTAAAAAAAAACACTAATAAAAGAAAAATTAAATGAAGACAGTTTTTTTTCCTTCTGACCATTTTAGCAAGATTTATCATCATCTTTTTATTCTAACTGTAGTTCAAATTTTATTTTACTTTGTGTGTGTTTCTAAATTAATAATTGAATGTCATTGAAACGATCATGTTACATTGTTTTTAACAACTTATCATTTAATAATATACAACTTAAAATCCCACTTTTAAAGACATAAATTTAAAAAAAGATAATCTATTACCGTAACATAATTGTTTATATTATATTTTATTATAAAATGTTGTGTTTAAATCCATATATTTTTTTAACCAAATAAGCTATTTGACATCAAAGGTATTTCTAATTCCACTTATTTAATAATTTAGTGTATGTATATATAATTATACATGTACTGGTTGTAATGGTCAAAACCCAGGTCAGGTGTCATTGTTATAGAGGGCGTGGATGCTAAACAGATTAAGAGTTTGACCCGTAGCCGGTCAAAAACCCCAGTGAGGTCAGCCATTGAAAAACATAACTTGTGTAACTGCTTTATACTCTCTATTACACATATGTATGAATATGTATAGTACAATGCCAGTATCCTAGACTTCTCAGTATTCCTGCAGATTGTTCAAGAGTAGTTTTTTAAAGTAAAAATAATGCTTTTTTTTTTTAAATAAAAATGTATAAATATTTACTTGAACATCCAGATTATAGTAATTCAACATCCATTGAGCTTCAAGTTTAAATTCTGCTGGTGCTATTAATTTCCTACTAGAAATAATCCCTTTGGCAGCCCATGTTTCTATCTCCATGGTTTTGGTTAAATCTTATATTACATTATATTACTGTAACACTCATTATATAGTAATTTTTAAAATTTAACAATAAGATTTTAAAATAATAACAAAAAAAAAATTTTTTTTTTTAAACTGCTTTAATTTTGCATTTTATTTCATTTTATTTCTAATAATTTTAATAATTTTTTTTTTATTCTGATATTAGATTGCAATATAAAGAATGATTGTATTTTAAAATGTTGTATGAAAACATAAAAATGTGGATGCATGAATGTCAGTACATGAAAACATATTTTAATATAAATGTTAGTTTGCTAGATATTACAATACTTCAAAATGATACTTTATTAGTAGATGCTAGCAGTGTTTTTCCCAGACTTTTTTCTCCAGGGTGGGGATTTTCTGTGGGCTCACACTGGTAAAAGTATACGTTTTCTTTATAAATTCCATTTTGTTCGGAGGGGGGGAGGGAGAAGGCAACTTTCTTCAGGTGGCCAGAGCCCCCAAGGTTGAAGCCTGGAAGAAACTCTGGATGCTAGTATTTTAAAAATGTATATCTCTTTGTGTCATTATTATTTATCTTATCATTAACATAGACTTTATTCCATATATCCTATTCAACTATTTCATTGTAAATTATTACGCTGTCATTATGTAAATAACATATGATGTTACTTTAGTAATATGTTATGTATATTGTATGTTATATCTATGCACATTCTATTTATTTCACTTTATTACAGATACAAAATCACATAAATTTTTTATTTCTCCAAGAAAATCTAAAATAAATTTTCAAAATGTTTACTACAATTATAATAGACCTTAGAATTTTTGTTAAAGTGAAAAAAGTGTTGATTATATTTATGATTATAAGTTGAGCTTTTGATAGAATCTGTTTTAAAATTCGTACATTGTGACTTTTGAATTTACTCTATCTTCTTTTTTAAAAGACAACATTGTGTTTTTGTTGAAAGATAAGGCTGCATAACTATGATTTAAATTTCTTTATTTCAAAAACTTCTTGGCAGTTCTAAAACATATTTACATTACTTTTCAAAATTTAATTTTTTTTTACAAATGCTACACATATAATCTTGTAGTAAGGTTAATTTTTAAATTAAATGTTCAATCTTTTTACTAGCCTATGATTATAGCATGGATGTTAAATTAACTATGAATTCTTGCAGAAAACCATTGTTCAAATATTGTTACGAGTGTGGACGTTCAGTGGGAGTACGCCTGGTTCCATGTACAAGGTGTAAGGAGGTCTACTACTGCAGCAAGGCTTGTAAGATGAAAGCATGGAATTCCAGACATAAAGAAGAATGCATAAGAATTGGAGGTAAATAAAATATTTGTAAAATATATGTAAATAAAAATGATCATCGCCAAATACTTAAACAAACTTGCAGCTGATAGTTCAAGTTTATATATAAGATCGATATCTCAGTTTGACATGTTATTTAATTTATTAAAGTCCTAATTTTTTCAAAAATTGAATTTTAGCCAAGTCTGATTAAATGTAATTTGTTAAATAACTGGGAAAAACACACAAGTGGATGTGTTATAATTTTAAATGAAAAAAGTTGAGCATGACATTATATTATCTATTTTCTTTTGTTTCTAATATGGTCTGAGCACAGCTTTTTTAAAAGTTACCATAGTTGACTATGTAGTTCAAGTTTTTTATTGTATTACCATGTATGCTTTAGTTAAATTTGATCCTCATATTATTTTATTACAAGACACATTTTGTTAAATTTGATCCTCTATATTATTTTATTACCACACATGCTTTCTTTAAATTTGATCCTGAATTTTATTTGACTCTCACGTATCACTAGGCCACTCCAGAAGTCCTAGCCCCAAACACAGAGGTGACAGCCCAACTGCTGCCACTGTAGCTGAGAGAAACAAGAAAACTGCCGGGTCTCAGAAGATTCTTGTAAGTCACACCCACTTCTTTTCAGCAGTTTGTCTAAGCAACACTATTAAAATCCTCTCCTTTCAATTATGTCCCTAAATATTAACCAGAGTGAAACAGAATACAAATATTTGTTGTTTTTTTCAAAATTAAAACGTTTCTGCTGAAAAAGAAAGAGTAATTTTTCATTATGTAAAGAGTAATACAAGCATCTAATTTAAAAGAATTTTGTTTTGTTTGAAAAAAATATTTGTGAAAGTCTTTTAACAAGTTCCAACTTGATTCACCTTTTTGACTTCATCAGGCAGACAAGTATGTAGGTATACACAATTTTATGCATGAGATTGTGGGTTAAAGAAGTTGATGGTTTGCACTGTCTCTGTCGTTATATGTTTCAGCTTGTTGGTTTTAATATTTTAAATCTTGAACACTAGTTGGGCCTTCATCTAAAATTATGTATCTACTGATTTTAATATTGTTGTATACATAAATGGAATGTGTTAAAATCACATAGGTTAACAAATAAATTCAGAAATTTTCACATATTCACTAATTTAAACTTTGTCATTTTAGTTACAACAAAGGGATTTTAAATTAAAAATCTCACTTATCTAACATTTATTTAGCAAAAACCTACTTTTTCAATTTGTAATATTTTAATTTCACTTTAATTATTTTCTTTTAAATCTATGAAATGAACACAGTGTGATGTAAGTTTTGATTGTACAGCTCCAAATTAATTTAATTCAAATCAACGGATTTGCTTCACACACAAAAAACATGTCTTATTTTTATTTAAACAAGTAGCAACACAAATTTACTGATTAATTATTTATTTTCATGAATTATTTTTAAATCGGCACACTGTATCACCATGTAAAATTAGATTTGTTAAGTTTGTGTACTAATGACAACTTACAGGCTTCAGGAAGAAGTGTGAAAACTAGAGCCAGATCTTCCTCAAGTCATAAATCTTCTGAAAACGAAAGCGTTCGGTATAACAAATCTGATTCTTATATTGAAAATGATCAAAGTGAAATTGACGAGGAAAGGGAGAGAAGCTGGCATAGCAGAAGTAACTCAGAAATGTTGTCTAAAAATGGATCAGCAAACTCTGGAAGCAGATTTGGGTCAGGGAGTTTAAACAACAAAAGTTCTTCAAATAGAAATAAAAGAAATAAAAAACAAGGAGCTCAATTAAATTCTAATAATAAAAAGCAATTAGTCAAAGGGAGAGTTACAGGATCTCTGATAAAGGATGGCAAATTAGATTCTACTGTGTACAGGAGAAGTAATAAAATCATATTGCCTCCCCTCAACGCATCAAAAAATAATGTAAGATTTATCTTGTTTGGTGCATGGCAGCTAACAGTTTAAAACTTCTGCATGACTAGGTCAAGCTAATACATTAATGGCGGTTCTGTATCATCACTAGAATGGGTTGCTCTTGTTTTTATGATTGTCTTTAACCAAATATAGGTGCACTTTTTTTGCAGGGATTTTAACATTTTGCTTCCACATTTAATTAACAACAAACTGGAGATATAATTTTTAATATTAGATGTGTAATCACATTTTTGTTCAAATTTGATTAATGTGTTTATTTCTGCTGTTAGTAGATTTCATTATGTAAATTTACAACGTACTCTATAGATAGCCTATTCCAAAAAAATGGTTAAGCTTTGAAAGTTTTTCTTAGTTGACTTCAAGATAAAATCTTAAATTTGAAACTTTTAAAAGTTTTTTTTTTAAATTATCGCTACAAAAAATATCATTTCAAAAACAATATTTAAATAAACATGTGTTATCCTATTATTTCTCACTCATATTTGTACATTATTGTTGGAAACAGGTGCATTTAATTCATAACAATAAATAATTACTAAATACTTACATCTTTCCGCTAATGGCTATTTGGTGTGGTGAAAGAAAGAAATCAATTAACTTAACCAATCAGGGGTTATTTTTTTTTTTTATTCTACATCTTTTGATGAGATTGTTTTATTCTTATAATTTACTAAATAAACTTTTAAATAATCCTAAAAAAGTATTTTTCTAGTCGTTGACCAGTATTTTAAATAACATGTGTGGTGATGTTTCTCACTTTTTCTAATCTTCAACATTAATTTTTTTTAAATATTATTAATATTTATTTACCAAATCAGTACTTTAGATTAATGATTCTTAGTAATGAAATGTAAAATATTTTTTTTTTATATTAGAACCATATTACTCATGTATTTTTATATCTTTAAATTGTATTTTTATATCTTTAAATATCAACTCAAAAAGGCCTTCTTCTTAGATCATGTATTATTTGTATATAATTTCCTTCAAATGCTTTAAACCTACAAGTGCTGTGAAAAAATTGTCTTCTACTTTTTCTATTTCTTGTGCTTCAATTTACAGGTGCCAGTCAAAGGGCTAAGCAAGAGTGCTCAAGGGGAGAGAAAACAAGCTAAACATAAATTCAGAACTGGAAGTCCACCACACTATGACTATGTCTTCATTGATAATTATAGTCACAACTAGAAAAAAAGAAATTGTCCCATAAAATATAGAGAAAATTACTTTTGTAGATTAAATGGGCCTAGTTAGTGTCTGTATTACAAAATATTGTCATCATTTTTAATGTACATGTTTCAACAAAACAATGCATATATCTCAATGGAGATAATCTAAACAAATGCAGAGGTAAAAATGCAACAATAATTCTATTTATATACACACTTTTCTGAAATTATATAAGAATTGTTAATTTAAAATATGTAGCTGTACTGTATACCTTTCTGGACCTTTCATATTATCTGGATAAACTTAAACAAGATGAAATAAGTATGCCTCTCTCTTTCTAAGTTTTTTTTTCTTGCCGTTCTGTTTCTAGTGCCATTATTAAATTATTAAGTGAAATCTTTCTGCTCAATTACTGTGAATATGTATTGTATTTAATGCACCAATCATTTTATTTCCTGCACAGTATAATTTATTTATATAACTGCAATAAAACACTGCATTTTGTCTCATTCAGTATACATGGAAGATGAGATAAAACAAAGCTTATTTATCATTAGTTCTTTTAAAGAGTTTCAATAACTAATTTCAAAACAAAAGTAAGATTTTTTTATGTTGAATAGAATCTGTTTGTGAGCAAGTTGCAATGTAATTTTAATCGTAAGTTGCAAACATTTTTTAATAACTCATCTAAACAGATTTTTTAAAATTTTGATGTATCTACAGAAATCTTAATTATATTTTTAAAAATTTTGTTTTTTTTTATGTTAGATGTTAGTGTTAATTTTTTTGTCAAGCTCATAATTAAAGATAAATTTTTATAAACCACATTTTTTAACACCAACCTATAAGTTGTTTAATTAGAATGTTATTTAAAATCTACTGCCAATGGTCTTAATTGCCTATCGTTAAAAGCCAAACTCCATAATAGTATCTCGTTTGTTTATAAATATGTCAATGATTGGAAGGCAATAGAAATTTTATGGAACAAAACAAATAATTTTTTTTAATCAGAATTGGTTATCATCAGAAATAGCAAACACATTAAAAATGTGTTGCTTTTGAAATTTTTAATTAAAACTTCAATCCAACATCATGTGACTAATAAAGTAAATAATACAAGCTCAGGTATTGGGATCTATTCTACTGTGATATATTAAAGAGTTACAATTTACATTACAAAATGTTAAATTATTTAATATTATAATTTTCTAGTATAATAAAAACTGTATATATTGCTTTATTGTTTTATATCATGCTTATATTATTGTATAGTTTTAAAAGTGTGTTTATTGGGTAAGGTGTTTAAAAAAAATTGTCTTATAAATGTACACAGGTTGCTTGCCATATTTATATCCTTATCAGTATTTATTTTTGTTATATTTATAAATACTTTATAAATAAATTTTGTTAAATAGGCCCTAGATTATGATAAATTGTAAAAAATGTTACACGTCCTTTATAGTGAAGCACCCATTTAGAAATGCAATAAAAATCTGGTTTGATTTTTTATATTTGAGTTTTTTGTCAAGTCACTAAAGCAACAAAATTTCCACAAGCCAAAGTAGGTTTTATTTTCCTTTTTATTTGGAATGTGTTTTTTTACTAGCACATTATTTCATACAATACAATACAATGTGATCTATAAAATTGAATTATAAAATGAAATGTGATTTAATATAAATGTTATAGCAACTTTAAAAAAATAAATAATATGAAATGTGAATATATATATATAAATCAAATATTGAAATAATTGTGATCAAAATATTCACACACAACCATAAAAAAAGATATGTAGCATGGTAAAAAAAGGTGTTGGCTGAGATTAACATCACAATATGCTGGATTTATCGCTATGGTTTATCTGTTATACATATGACACAATTATATAATTTTAATTATCAGCAAGCACATAAACAGTAACAAAAACAACAGTCTAAATCTTCTAGTGAATAACATCAATACATTTATTTATATTATAATAATGCATTTCAATTCATTCATAATTTTTACTATAAATTATGCATCCAAAAAAACGTGGTAAAATAAAAAAATATGCTTAAAATACACTTTTAGATGACTAAAGGAACAGAACAAAAACGAAAAATAATTTTTTAGCAAAATGTACAAAAAATACTGAATTATAGAATTAATCCAAATAGATTGCATAAGTCAAATCATGGCTCTCAAAAATAATAGATTACATATTTATTTTATTATTGTTTTCTGTGGTGTCTGTAATAACATAAGGCCAAAATTCAAATACCAACTGAAAGAAAAATAAAAACAAACATTTAAATTATTGTGTCATTTTTGCTGTACTTAGTGGATATATATATATAATTTGTAAATATATATATATATATATATATATATATATATATATATATATATATATACATATATTTATATTTATATATATAGATAGATATATATATATATATATATATATATATATATTTATATTTATTTATATATATATATATATATATATATATATATATATATATATATATATATATATATATATATATATATATATATATATATATATAATGTATGTATTAAAGAAACAAATCAACAAACCTGAATAACTGGCTTCTTTTTTAGAAACACATATCTAGTGTGTAGCCTAAGTATAAAGAAAATTTAATTGCAAATAAATAGACAAGAATAAAGAGTTTTAAAATTATTTTAAACCAGGATTTGTATACATGCAATTAATAGTTTAAGGGATGGCATGGTCAGATGGTAGAGCTTGCAACCACTAACCCAAAAGCCTTAAGTTTGAATCCATGGCTTGTGTTAGTAGGACTTTCCTGAGCTTTGGTAGGTACATGACTCATCTTAGAGAAACTAAGGCAGCTAAATATAAAATAGTGCTGACCACACTATTCCCCCGTGTACCATGATTATTGAAACAGATGAACTCTACTTCATCTGCCCTAGGTTTTAAGACACAAATGGGGAAAGATGATAAATAATGAATTTATATCTTTGAAATCGTTAACAAAATGTCATTATAATATTAAACAGAATACCATCTTTTTGTTTTTGTGGAATATAAAAAAAAAATTCTTTTAAAACACTACACTTTATGAATTTACTTACAAAAATAAAAAGCCGAGATATGCACCAATGCCTGAAAAAATGTGCCACCATGCATGACACTCAAACAACATGCCTGTAGTCTGTGCAACCTTTAGAGATCTAAAACAATCCAGAAAAATGTGTTGATGTTATTTTTTTTATTTTGATTTGAAAGTTAAAGCATCAAATATTCACTGAGGGTCCACAGTTATGTTTGATAAAAATAATAGTTTAACTTAAAATAATACGCTGATCAGGTTTATAACTAGGACAGTTACCTATCATTAACAACTTTTTTTTAAAATCATTACAAAAAATATTCATATTTTTTTCTAGTGTTAAAAATGTAAATGTGTAAATATAATATTGTATACATGTCTCTTCAAAAGGGAGACTATCCTCACTCACTTAAGTTTATGGCAGTATAGGTTGTCCACATTCCATAGGATGAAACCAACCAGGTAACATAAAAACCCTAACATGTAAAGGGCTTTATTACATTCCATTGTTCTGAAATGACAAATTTGTCATAAGCTTCTAATATATACTTATAATTCCTTTTTGTATATAATACTAGCAATAATACCAATCAGACATCAGTCATAAAAAAAAGAGTAAAAAAGCACACAAATGTTTAAATCTGTCCCGCTTCTTGGCTTGTTCTTTGTTCGGTATTTATTTGGTTGTTTCCCTTTGCAAATTAAAGTTAGATAAATGGGGAGACAACCTGTGGACTTGAGTCCTAAACTAAAATTACGAACTTTTATTTACTTTTGTATTACTAAACTTTAAATAATTGCAGTAATCAATAATTGTAACGAAACTAGTAAATCTAAAAAATACTTACAATGCAATTTTAAATAGAAGAAAAATGACAATAACATTCAAAACACCATAAACTACCTGTAAAAACAATTATAAAAACGTCATTTTAATACATGAAATGTCTAATGAAGTAAAAAGATAGTGATACAGTTAATGTCCATTGGAATTTTTTTTTCCATTAAATCTGATATAGGGCCTATATACTGAAAAATAGAAAAAAAATCTAATATATATTACTATGTGTGAGTTACCTGGAAAAAAACAGGTAGGTTGATGAGAATGTGCATCTGAAAATAAATTATTTGTTGCTTAATAAATTGAAATCACTTTTTTTTTTTTTAAATTATTATTAAGTTATTTTGACACATCTGATTTTAATTATCTAATATTTGATTAATATTTACTACAGTAGGAGTATTTGCTTGCAAAAAAATGATATAGTAATTTTAATATCGATGTCACAAATATATTCATGAAAAAAAATAAAAGTCCTACAACATTTTTTACTGGACCAAAACGAATGTTTTAGAATTAAGTTGAAATAAATTTAAACTAAAAAAAAAGACGAAAAAAATACTTGCCAGAGTGACAATAGTACACATTGTAAACAAGGCCGCTTGAAGTTTTTTGTTTTCTATATTTGGCTTGCCTTTTACCATTAACCTTAAAAAGAAATGCTTAATTAGATTTCTCCTAACATTTTCTGTGTAATAAAATACTGAAACAGAAGTTCTTTGGTCAGAAAGAACATTTCTAGCTCTATTTTCTTGTAAATAACAAACTTATTGTAATTTTTAAATCACATCCATAATTATATAGGCCTAACACGAATTTCCAAACATTTTTCGCCTTGAGAACAAATGGGTTAATGAAGTAAAATTCATTTATTTCTTTGATCTACTTTTCCCAAGTCAGACGCAGAGTTTCTTCCAGGCACCTCTTCGGGGGGCCCATCCCCGAAAAAAAATTTCCGCCCCCCTCCCGAACGAAATTAAATTTATATAATTTATAAAGAAAATATATACTTTTAACAGTGTCCGCCCCCCTCCCAAGAAAGTCTAACGCCCCCCCCCCCCGAAAATTTCAAGTGCCCCCTCCCCCCCCCCCTCCCGGAGAAAAAAGTCTGAAAGAAACACTGGTCAGGCGCCCATTAGACCAGTGTGGACAGGAATGTCCTGCAGGAAAACACCAGAACCAAACTCGATTCTTGCAGGCCCGCAATTGAGTGCTTCACCATTCCACTCCATCAGCTCATTAAACTTAAGACCATAACCATTTTTAGCACCCCACCCGCTTTACCTGCCTCCAATAAGGACCATTTATAGTAACCCTATCATCAAACAATCGATAATACTTACGTTAAATAAATAAAACAAGTGCTGGCCCACAGCATCGGAACCTCATCCAACAGCTGTAAGGAAATAAAATTATATTATACTCAGAGGCGTAGCGAGGGGGGCGGGGGGGGGGGGCGGACCGCACCGGGTGACACCATTTAGGGGGGGGGGGGTGAAACCAAGGCAAAAAATAGCAAAATATATAGAGAAAAACTTGAGGGGTATGTGCAAATCGAAAGTTTGAGGGGGTGCAATCGAAAATTTGAGGGGGGGGGGGGGGGGCAAATCGAAAGTTTGAGGGGGGAGGAGTGCAAATCGAAAATTTGAGGAGGGGGGTGCAAATCGAAAGTTTGAGAGGGGGGGGGGTGCAAATCGAAAACTTAAAAGTTTGTCCCCGGGAAGGGTAGCTAGGCCTCTGGGGGTGACACCATTAAGTGCCGCACCGGGTGACACCCGACCTCGCTACGTCACTGATTATACTTATGTATAAATGAGCCCGTCAACCGACGGATATAAAAACTACACACATTTTTAAAACTAAAAAGTCATTTATTTGTTTCGTTTCACTGTTGTTCTCTTGTTCTGGGTCAGTTTTTTATTTGGCGGTTTTCATTTACTTAGTAACTCAAGCTACGCGCTTAGCCAATTGTTAAAGAATATAATTACTTAATGTAACTCATCATCGGGAATTATTAATTCTCACAAATTTATATTTCCCTTACTAAAGGCTATTTTTAATGAAGACTACCATACAGATAACCTTTCTTTTTGTTTAATTCAAAAGATGTAGCCTACGTATTTCAAGACCCAGACTTTTTCCTGGTTATGCTATCATAGCACTATCCACGACCCTAACTATAGTCCCAATCCAATGAGATTGTGCACATATTATACTAAACAAAATGCGACACTTTGACCCCCCCCCCCTTTCGTACAACATGAAGCAAAATATTTCCATCAGTCATCACCACCCATGTTAAATCTCGTTTTAATACCCCCCCCCCCCCCAATCCTATATAACAAGAATGAAATTAGGTCAACACGAACACGTTTTTGATACCCCCCCCCCTTTTTTTCGATATAATAAGAACTAAATGAGGTCAACAAATGAACACGTTTTTAATACCCCCCACTCCCACCCCCTCTCATTTGACAAGAACTAAATGAGGTCAAATAATAAACAAATACCTGCATGCTGTATCTGAGTGTCATGTGGAACAGCCATGATCCCAGTCCTATGGCTGGTAAACAAACACAATTTGTTAACATAATTAGCTTCAAAGTATTGCTACATGTAAGCTATATGTGGAACAGCCATAATCCCAGTCCTATGGCTGGTAAAGAAACACAATGCATTAACAAAATTAGCTTCAAAGTATTGCGAGATATAGGCCAAAAGCGGGTAAGGGTAAAAGTGTTAAAGTTCCCTTTCGAATATGACGGTCCCCCATGGGGTAAGAGAAGTAGAGTTCACCTGTTTCTGTGTCCTCGGCGTATGAAGAGATAGTGTGGTCAGCACCATGCCCAGCCGCCTTTACTTCACCTATTATGTGTTGGGTACCAACCTGCGCTGGGTATACTCAAGGACGTTCTACTTCAAAACTCTTAAGTTTGGATCTCGGTCCCTAAGTCCAACCAGCTCTGATGTACATTAGGGAAAGTAAAAGCGGCTGTGCTTAGTTCAGTCAAATATC